AGACCCCTGAGCACAGGCAAGACGCCAAGCTTTCTGAAGCTGAGGGTGGGGAACTGGGAGCAGGCCGGAGGTTGCCTCTGGGCTGGGAGAGCACTGAAGACTGGCGCCTGGAGCATTTCATGGGAGGATCAGAACACATTAGATGCTGTGCTGAGGATCGAGGGTGGAGGACTCACAGGAAATCACCCTCACTTCGTGTGTGTGTGTGTGTGTGTGTGTGTGTGTGTGCCACAAAAGACCAAGGAGAAGAAGATCCAATGTATTGAATTCTCCCCATCCTTGGCTTTGGAGCAGAAAGTCTTCCCTTTGTTGCCTTGCAGAGCCCTGGCAGTGCCCCTGTGCTTATCTCGCTAGAACACTGTACTTGCCACCACTCATACAACTTCAGTCACTTGGGTCTTCCATAGTCAGACCAGAGCTCCAGCAGTATAACAAAGAAGAACGTCATCATAGTCAACGAGGACAGACGGAGCACATGCTTAATGCCATAGAGTGGCAGCTGGAGACAGACGACTACCTGACAAAAATAGTAAGAGTACATAAGGAGATTTAACTGCAGTACAGAACTTCTAGAGGTGAAATACAGTACATGATTTTTCAATAAAACATTTCAGGAAATGAAGGAGATGTTGATTCTTGAGACTTGAATTGATAGCCTTGTTGGTCAAGTGAAAGAATCTGAAAGCACAAAACAAAATATGAAGGAAAGTGGAAATCATAAGAGAAAAATAGATCCAGGAAGTAGAACATGTGAGTAATAGGAGAGCCAGAAAGAGAAAAAGGAGCAGATGGAAGAAGGCAATAATTAGGTAAATATAAGAAACAAAGTTTCTGAGCTTGAAAATCAAGACTTTAGTCTGTAAATTTAAATGCCTCATTACATTCCAAGCAAGGCTATGAGAAAAGACACCTCTGCATGTGTTGGAGAAGTTCTTGGACTGTTAGGAATAGGGAGCAAAGTCTTAGAAGCTTCCAGACAGAGCAAATTGCCCATGATAAAAAGTATCAGACTAGCTACAGGTTTCTCATTTATGACACAGAATGTGAAAGACAGTGGAGTAACTTGTGTAGACCATCCAGAGAAAAAAGCTAGGGTTTCTACAGAGACCCTTTAATAACCCTATGTCAATTGTCTCCACCTCTAACAGCTTTGTATATACGTTGAGATAGAACAATTAAAAAAAGTTAGATTTAATAAGTAACTTGGAATCTTATCTTTCTTGACTGCAGAATGTTCCTTTCTGAAATACTTAGAAAAACTGATCATATACTTGACTAGAAAGAGCACCTTAAGAAATTCAAAGGAAGAGATTTTTATAGATCTTGTTCTCTGTTCATAATCCATGAACATTAGAAATAAAGGTAACAAAAAAGAACATGTACCATTTAGAAGTTTAAGAAAATGTTGTGTGTAACCTTAGTCTCGAAGGAAAAAAACAAAACGCAAATCCTAACTATTAAGAAATCAATAAAATGAGCCTAACTTAACCCAAAAGCTATAAGAGAGAGAGAAAGCTGTAGCCAGTGGAAAATTTACAGTCTTTAGATGATTTTATTGCTTACAAATAAAGATTACTTTTATTGTGCAATAAAAAAATTAAGGACAAAACAAGTTAAAATAAATTGGACTAATGAAAAAAGATGAAATTAATGAAAAATACATTAATAACTGGCTATCGTGGAATTTGTTTGATTAGGAAACTAATACAGTAAAAATTTTAGAGACCACAAGTGAGAAAAGGGACATAATCAGAGCTATAGCTACTATAGATATTGTGAAAGGGAAAGAAACTGCTGAAAGGGAAGGAACAACTGGGATGAGGGAAAGAAGAAAAGAAAGAAAGAAGGGGAAAATATGTATGTATATACAAGAATAGCTGACATAATGGTACTGCTGATTTCTATTGGTTTATTGAAAGGAACAATTAAGGCCTAAATTTTTTTCTTTTTTTTTTTTTGACCAAGTTTGCATGCTTATGTCTGGTAATATGAACAACTAATTTGAAGACAGCAGTATGCAATATAACAACCAAGTGTTGAAGTCCTGTCATCTTGTTTAGTGAAATTCTGTATCATTTCTAATGTTTTTTTAAATTATTTGTTATTCTCTTTAAAAAAATCAGAGGTATAGGAATGATTCAAAAAAGATTAAAAATGAACAAATTTGAAAAACCAGAAGAAATGAATTTTTTTCCTTGCCAAATACAAATGTCCAAATTTGACCCATGAAGAAATGGAAAATTTGAATAGGACAATAATTACAAAACAGATGGGAAGGTGATATGATCTACTCTTGAAAGTGGCAATGCGATCCTCTGGAATTAAAGCAGAGTCTCATGTAACCTTTAAAGAACAAATAACTTTATCATTATTTAAACTGTTCCAGAAGAAGATGAAAAGTACGGAATTAATTTATAAAATAAATACACATTTAATAACCAAAACCCAGGAGAGTGCCCAAAAAGTCTAGAAATGAATTTAAATTTTTTGAAACCAATTTAATTTTGAATATAGAGGCAAAATTTTAAATAAGTATTAGCAGATGAAACCCATCACTGTATTTGAGAGCCTACCTATGACAGGTGGGGTTTATTACAAGAACACAAGAGTATTAAGGCTCTTTGAGGGACCATAGAGTCACAATGGGACGGGTGAATTTTTTTAAGACTCTAGCAGCTGGTAGCCTGGCTTCCCAAGAGACACTGTCTCCCTGCTGTTTCCTGTCACTCCAGGCAGAGACACTTGTGCTGGCCGCATTGCCAGGGATACTGCCAGAGCTCAAGGCCATCAGCAGGGCTGCCCAGAGGTGCCCATCAGCTTCCGGTTGACACAGTGGGTTTGTTGGAGTTGACCTTGGGACTACAGTTGGTGTCGTTTTGATTGGATATTTGAACATTTGTCTTTCACTTGCACGTTAATAAGGAGCCCCCCCGTGAATTTTTATGAACATTACAGTCACATCACACTGTATCTTACTGTATTCAAAGGTCTGAAGGGATACTTCTGTGAAAATGAAAGCTGTTTCAAATAACAGCTCAATATTGTTGAGCAAATAATTTAGGTTTTCGGAATTAGCAGCCAGAAATGGTGGCTGGGCCAGTGTAGAACATTTCTCCTCCTCTTCCTCTGATGCCTGGAAGCTTGGCACAGAAAGTCAATGTGGCCAGTTGACTGTCAGATGCTGACACTGTAACGTATTCTCACACATAAACCTTTGGATGGTGTTTATATTTGTCTATTCTAGCTTTCTATGCCTTTAGGTAGAATTTTGCTTAGTTATCCTCACTGACGCTTTCACCCTTTTTTTTCTGTGATAGTATTATAGAGATAGGTGCTTTCTTTGGGTGGGTTTTTTGTTTTGTTTTCCGGTACCGGGAACCGAACTCACAACCTTGCGCTTGCCAGGCAGGCGCTGTGCTGCTGAGCTAAATCCCCAGCCCTGGTGCTTTCTTTTTTGTTATTTTTGTTTTTGTTTTTATTGGTACCGGGAGTTGAACTCAGGACCTTGCACTTGCCAGGCAGGCACATGTGCCACTGAGCCGTAGCCCAGGACCCAGACATAGGTACTGTCCTACTTTTCCTTTTCATACCACTCTGCCTACCTCATTTCTTTCCATGGCAGTGGGGCAGTTGCTGCTGTTAACCCATTGCTGTGGCTTTCGGATGCCTGAGTTTGGAAAGGCATGGGGCTGAGTGGGAAGAAGCCGCAAAGAGAACGTAGTACTGTATGTTTCATTTGGGTGAGCTTCTGGTTTGCTCTGGCTAGCAGTGGGGCTGGCTGTGAGAGCATTGTGACCAGCAGGTAACGAATGGCAGCTCTCCAAGGAGCAGATCACCAGTGTCCTGCCCAGGGCTAGGGGTCAGGGGTAGTAACTGGAATAAATCACCTTGTTTCTTGGTTTCATTTTGGAGGTGTTCATTCCATAGAAAGAAAAATCAAAACTCAACCCGACAGCTTTGTGGAATTATATGCAAGATTCAGTCACATTTTGCAGTGATGTGGGTATGTAGATCCTCAACACAATCAGGATCAGGAATGAGGAACATATTTAGGGGACATGGAAGGAAAGGGAATAGAAGACCTGATGTCTGTGTCTGTATATCCTCTTTTACGTTTAAGCCTAGTACAATAGATGTTAGCTCATGGTGGCAATTTTGATATGTAGGAATTTGTGTACAGTAAACTGTATTTTTAAAAATCCTACCTATATTCTTTGGCTTAGTACCAGAGATTCTATTGATTGTCTTTCTTTTGCCGCAAGTATGCATCTTGCCACTGGTATCCATTTTATATTCTTGTAGAATGGGAAATCGATTTAAAAATTATCTCAACTCATAAGTAAGAAGGCAGATAAAGTGTTCACACAAGGTGGTTATTCATGATTTTAAAAATTGTCCAAGTTTAGCTCCCCACTACCTCTTCTCTGTTAATGCAGTGTGATCCGTACCAAATTTTAAATTCTAGCATAGTTGTACTCTGCTTCCCAGAAATGTTGTGACAGCCTTCTGCTATTATTGCTTGGGGTGTGCTCAGAAATTCAAATACGTTTTGATATTTTCCAAGCAAAGCATAATTTAAGACAGATCTACTACCCCAAACACCACATACATTAAAGGAAAGTGAAAGTGATTTGGAAGATTCCCATCTTGTTGCTCCCTTCCATTAACACTGCAAGTTGATAGTCGACTGTGCACATGAATAGTCAAGCTGCAGCCATTTGGCCAAAGGCGGCGATGGTAGTATTGCTGTTACTAGTCATGGGACTGTGGACTGCATTATGCTTTCTGTTTAGCATAGAAAGGTAGTTTATGTGAAGTAAAATAGGTGCATAGGTGAACGTTGAGTATTTCTTGATAGCCATGCGGAAGTCCTTCCTGTGTGGAGCAAAAGCTGTGCATGTGGTACCAGTGTTCTCTTCTCTTTCCCAGGAATTAGACTTGACTTGATCGCAGTGCTTATATCGAGGGACTTTATCCTGAATTCTACCCTATGTGAACATGTGTGCATAACTGTGGTTTTCAAGACTGGTGTTGGAACAAAAGCTTTGAAATTGAATAGTCAAACAATAGAGACATGTACGTGGCAGATTTCTTTACACTGAGAAGGTGAGAACCGTCTGCTCCACTTAACAACGCTCTCATCTCTCACCACACTTTCTAGAAACACATTATTAACCTTTATCCTCCAGGCCTTCTTCTTTTTTCTGTTTTGTGCTACCAAAAGCACTTGTAAGTGCTGTTGAAGGTATTTAAGCAACTGTTGTTTACTGCAGCAGTTCTCTGAATTAGTTTAGAATCGGCCCATTCTGTTTTCCAAGAGGGCAGAATTTCAGAGAGAAAATTTCTATCTGAAAGACACCATAGAGCACGTGCTCTGCAGTGTACTTCACACCCATTAGGATTTTTAGTTCCTTTTCATCGTATTTGTGGACCAAAACAGCTAAGCATGGAGATAACACTTTCCTGTCCTAGGAAAAGAAAAGTGTGAAAAGATGAAGGGATTTAACCTGTTAGGACTGTTGCTTTTAATGCTTGCAGTTCAGAAAATCGCATAAAGCACCGTTCAGCAACACCTTTTCAATGAGCTGCTCGCTATATTAGAATCTCTCTCTTTTTCTTTGCAGACCCTTCATGTGGCCTTTAAAAGATGCATTTGAGACAGTTATGAGCAGAAACTGAAAATGCCTGGACAGTTTCTGGCTCTTCTCACCACTCTTCCAGCCTTTGCCCCTCCCTGCCAGACCCAGATGATGTGATCCTCAGAGGCACACCCTAATCGCAGTGGTTCCTCGGTCAGAGACATCTGCACAAGATTGTTTCTGTTACTCATGATGGCCAGTCAGCTGCCTGAGGACCCTGCCGAGGCGCAGGTCTCCGACGAGCTCGAGTGCAAGATTTGTTATAACCGGTACAACCTAAAGCAGAGGAAACCCAAAGTGCTGGAGTGTTGCCACAGGGTCTGTGCCAAATGCCTCTACAAGATCATAGACTTTGGGGACTCCCCGCAGGGTGTCATCGTCTGCCCTTTCTGCAGGTTTGAGACGTGCCTGCCGGATGATGAAGTTGGTAGCCTGCCCGATGACAACAACATCCTGGTAAACTTGACTTGTGGAGGCAAAGGGAAGAAGTGCCTGCCGGAGAACCCCACCGAGCTGCTGCTGACCCCCAAGAGGCTGGCGTCTCTCGTCAGCCCTTCCCACACGTCTTCCAACTGCCTGGTCATAACCATCATGGAGGTGCAGCGAGAGAGCTCCACGTCTCTGAGCTCCACCCCTGTGGTTGAATTTTACAGGCCTGCAAGTTTCGACTCCGTCACCACGGTGCCCCACAGCTGGACTGTGTGGAACTGCACGTCCCTGCTGTTTCAGACCTCCATCCGGGTGTTAGTGTGGCTGCTGGGGTTGCTGTACTTCAGCTCCTTACCCTTGGGGATCTACTTACTAGTGTCTAAGAAGGTCACCCTCGGGGTTGTCTTTGTCAGCCTGGTCCCTTCGAGCCTTGTCATCCTCATGGTGTATGGTTTTTGCCAATGCGTTTGTCACGAATTTCTGGACTGTATGGCACTTCCTTCTTAATCAATATGCAAATATGGAACTTGACACATATAGCCAGGTTTGAAATTAGGTGATTTATAATTTATATAATTGATTTTCTTTTGTGTTCGTTATGATTAGTGTCCATGGCATCAAGGAAGGCCTTGGCCGTATGTTTCTGGTCCCGGTGTTGGCTTGCTGGGTAAAAATGTGTTGTACTTAGGAGGTGCAGAAGCAGAGCTGTGTGAGTTCAGTCTTCACGGGGCTCTGACAGCCATGAGACTTCCTTGAGCAGGGGCAGGAATTCCCGCTGCCCCTCCACGCGGCCCCAGAGTACGGTGTACTGTGCTGGAGCAGAGGTCTTTGTGGAGATTAGGGTCAGGCTGATTCCTCCTTTCACAGTCAGAGTCTACGTGGGGGGCGAACACCGCAGGGCAGTCACTGCACAACCTGAGTTTGCAGTCTGTGTCCCCCTACTCCGGTGTTGGAGCCCCAGTCTTCTTAAGGTGCTTTCTCGCTTAAGGCAATGTCACTCTGAGGTCTGCCACTCATGGAGATGCCTGCTCCTCTGTGTGTTCTCCCCTGCCAAGGGGACACTAGGCCTGTACCCTTGGGTAGTCTCACTGAATACTTGTTTTGCCACATTATGAAAGAGTACAGAAGACTTTGAGGAATTTGCATCAAAGTAGGCTTCATGGCGGAATAAGGCCATTTGTCTTCCTTCCATGTTTATTTCCCTCTCTCCTTGGGCTTCTGTGTAAAGAACCGAAGAGAATAAACTTCTTGTAAAGCACTTACTGTTCAAAGGAACTTCCATTTAAGTCTTTCCTTAGAACATCTTAGTTTAGCTTTGTTTTTAACTAACTTGCTCAGATAGCCCTACCCCTTAGCCCAACCAAGGTTCCACTGAAATTCGCTGCCATCAATTCCTAGTTTAGAATATTTTACACTTGATCTTAGCCAAAAGGCTGAGAAGTGATCCTAGTTTAAAATATTTTATTAGGATTTATTTAACTTAATCCTATAACAGCTGGGGGTGGATTGTGGCAGTGGAAACCCAGAAACAATTAGCAAGATGCTGTAGCTGATGCTTTGAAGTTCTGAGAACCTAAGTGTTGGCTGTGCTTTGTTGAGTTATGTGCAGCGCTGCGTGCTATAGAAAGAAGTCCAGGCATAGCAATGGCCGGGGACATGTGAAACTGGCGCTCCGCTTGAAAGGGCTCTTCAACGTGAAAAGTGGAGGTCGCAGAGTACAACTTACGCATATTGTTACCCTTGCTGTAGTTAAGTCAGTTTGGGAATAGATTGAAGTCCTTAAGTTTATTTCATGTAGAAGCCTAAGCTATGTGACTTGAGCTAATGGACTTCTTTTGGGGATGTAGGGGCAGTTGACTGTATATATTTACGAGAAGAAATTGTCTAGCAGATTTTAGTTTTGGGAGAATAGAATGTTGACAGAAACTAGGGGAGAAAAGCTTTTTAGTCTCTAAAACCCATTACTAATGATGAACATTAAAATATTTGTAGCTCTTAGCAAAGGGCATCACTAAGGGTGCTTGTTTGTAATAAAGTATTTGTTGCGTGAAATAGTTACAGTGGGCCAATTCCTATCTCTGTATGGAGGAGAAATTGATACTTATCTCGAATAGCAGTTTGATTTTATTTGCATAACTATTAACTTTGAGAACATGTATGCCGTGGTAAGTACAAGGAGAAAGTTTATGTGGGACATGGTCCAATAAATTTAAGCCCCAAGATATAACTAACCATGTTTATGAGTCCATAAATCTAGTTTTGCTAGCATTGTGAATGCAATTTCCAGAAATCCATTTGTACTTTGAGTAAATATAATGTTTAGGAGATGTTTTGTGGTTTGGATTTATATATTTATAAAGTTTTTTTTTGAAGTCTCATTTTGTCTGAAATGTAACACTGAGTAAATTGGTGAACTATATGATGGGCTTTCCAGAAAACTCTAGATATGGTACCATGTGTTTTACTTATTTGTATAAAGTCTGCAGTGCCAGCTGTGTGTATCCGTGCATCACAGTGGTCTTTTTCTTTAGTTTCTGGTAAGTTGGCTTGATTTTAAAGAGTTTTAAGTGTATGACAACAACAGTAACAAAAAAACCCTCTTCATGCTATTGAATGAAAAAAGGGCAATGCTTTAATATTTTATTCACTGTGATAATGTTCTGTTTGTCTATTAAATTTGACTAGAAGTTTGACTTCTCTGTTGTGGCTGAGAATCAGTTATTACTCTGGACCCCAGGTTAACTTTGGATAATAACTGTAAACATGAACTTTGAGAAACATCGATTAAGCTAATGATGCCTTTATCACACACATAAAGTTTCAGAACCTTGTGATAAAGCTTACCTGGCCCATAGCACTTCCAGAAGGTCTTCATCTTTTGTTAAAAGTGGGGGACAAACATTAAGAAGGGGAAATAAAATATTGTCTTTATAAATACTTTTCTCCATTTTCAATTTATTTGATTGGATTTCCAGGTTTTGCCTAGCTGCTCAACATAATAGATCCCATTTATTTGGAGAGTACCTTACTTTCTGTGATTGGGAAATTAAACAAAATTTACCTGGTATTTTGTTAGGCAAAGTGGAAATAATTTGAGATATGTAGCAGTTCTGCGCTTCCAACAATGAATGAATTGATACCGTATGTTAAAGAAAAACTTTCGTTTACTTCTGAAATCTGTACATAAGGACAGAAGCAGGGTAAAGACAGCAGGTGTCTGTCCCTTCGTAACGTCCATGTGAACCTGGGCTAAACCACAGAGAGGCCGAAGTGATGAGCACTTGCTGGGTTGTAAACAGGTACGGGGCCTCTGAGGCACCTGGAGGAGATTTCTCAGTATCTCACCCGGGTAGACCTGAAGCCAGGGGAGCACTGGTATTCACAGGCACACGAGGAGCACGAACTTGAAACCAGTTTCAAGTTGGTTTCCTTGAAACCAGTGACAGTCTTGGTCACAGGTAGGATCCCTAAAAGAGTGTAACTATTTGCTGTTGCGCTTGAGTTGTGTGTGCTTTCCACATCTTTTCCCCTTTGTTAGAGGTGTATTGCTCGTCAGTGCCCGGTATGAATTTTCATCCCTGTAGGTGTACTATTGGGTCTTTCCTTACAAGTTTTCTTTGGTGTAAAAGATTTGTTTAAAAATGTGGATAACTAAATGTTGAAATTTAAATAAATGCCTTGTGAGTCCTGGAGGTGACATTGATTCAGCCCATTTGCTTGTGTCATTTAAATCTGTGGTATAATCTGAATCCAACTACATTCAGTGTACATGGGTTTATGGTTCTGACTTCAAGGTGCTTTAAGTGTAGGGAAAAAAAGAAATCCGAAATTAAATCATGTCCTGAATATGGTGTATACTAAGTTACGGTATGTGCTAATGTATTTTTAAAAGTAGTTGAAGCTTGATTTAATTAAAACATTCAATTAATTGAAACAATTACTCTACATGCATTTTAATTAATCAGGAGTTTATTAGATTTGCAAACCATTAACCTTTTAAATTGAGATTGTTAGAATTTCATGAGAAAAAAATGTGCTCGATACGAGTTGTGTTACATCTTGGTTTTCCCACAAAGTATGAAGAAAGTAGGTTTCCTTGTATGTTCATGTCTGTTTACCTGAGATAAGGGGTCTGTCCTGAAGTTTTAGCTTAGGGAGTTATTGCTTTGCGATAGAAGCTGGGGGTGAAGAAGGAGAGAAATGCTGAGAGGGAGAGAGAAGAGAGGCCAAGGCTGAGGTCTGAAGGCTGGAACTTTGAGTGCTCAGTAGAGGAGCTGGACAATGTGTGGGCACGGGAGCCAAGATAAGGGAGGTGGAGTTAGGATAACTAGATGCACACAGATCTCAGATTGGTTCATGAAAAAGGATTCTGAAAGCTTGTTTCATGAAACTTTTCAACCATAGGGAATAGGCCGGAGAAGAGTGCAGTTATCACCCATTGACTTATCACTGAGAGTCAACAGTTAACCTTTCGTGCTATTTGTTGTTTCTCATAAGTAAATGTATGCTTAGTAATTCTAAACTTAGCATTTTCTCCCTAATTCTCACCCAATTTAGTAATGCCAATCAAGAATGATCTGTTTCTGAATAGATATATTCTGGATTAAGCTCAGATGATTCTGCGAGCTGGCTTAATGTTAAATTCCTTCTCATAGTTTAAAATATGTTAAGCTTTTTATTGTTCCACATCCCCAGTCAAGAAAACTCATCTCCTAACAGAGTTTTAAATGAATTTTAATTATTTTAGCAACCCCTTTAGCTCTGAAATGTTATTTTTAATGCCAAACAACATCATTAGTCAATAAGTGAACATCTGGTTTTGATATGTGTTAAGCCAAGACCTCCCACACTCTTCCTTTTACCCCCATGTCCTCTGATTTCTGTAATGCCATTTATGGAAGAATCTAGTGCACCCACTGCTACCATCACCCACACCTCCCCCGCCACACGTGCACATGCACAATTGCAAACACGCACAGACGTGAAGATGCACAAATGTGCATCTTCACATTTTAGGAAACAGACCCATGAAAGAGAACCAAATTAGTGTTGCACCACGTGGTAATTATCCATTTAAATACTATTTAAAACTATGTTTGTGACCGTGAACAGTTAAACTACCTTTATGACTTCACATACATTGGTGGCTTCGGCCGCTTGTCTTCCAGGTACTTATTTCCTCTCTGAGGGTAGTTACTCTAATTGAGCGAAAGAGATTTTCCTAACTAAATTATGGACTGGTTGTTGACACTGCTTCTGTTTCGTGTGATATTTCCCCTCAGTATTCCAACTAGAACTGTATATTGCCATGGTTAAATTTATCATCATTACAAATTTTATTTTTGGTTAGAATGTTTAAAATTATAACATTGTTTCCAGCCTATAATTTCACCTACACTAATCACCAGCAAAAAGGGAGCAAATAACATAGCCTAATTTTTGTGGGCTTTTTCTGTTGCTGGAGAGGAGGACAGAGTGAAGTGGTCCTGGGAGACCAGAGAATGCTACATTCTGTTCTTGGAGCTGGGGAAGAAAATTGCACTGCTGATTACTTAACCCTGTTCCCTACTTAAGGCTTTATATACCAAATGGGAACCCTGCCAGATTTTTTGATACAAAACTTACAGACTCATTATTTTCACTCAGGTGCTTGGCTACCTATTATGCATAAGATACAGATATTCTGACTTTTAACATGATAATCATGAATGTCACACCTCCTTGGAAACATATGAAGAAAATTGTGACCTTTAAAAGGATCTCATTAAAGCAATTGTTCCCAAATATATGATGTGAAACATGTTCAAGTGTCTGATCCAAGAATGACAGACTGTGTTCAAGAAGCTGGGGGTTCTGTATTCTCCTGTCCGAGATTTGTGTCAGGCATCAGCACCGCAAAGTGGCCAACAAGTCAGTCAGTTAAAGAAACCTGTTTAGAAGTTTAGTTTAAATCATGGGATTCTTTCTCAAGACAGCTATTAATACTTCGTGGAATCAGTGTTTTGTGGAGCATATTTTGTGAAATCTGCTTTAGAGAGTTAATAAAACAGTCACAATATAAGATGTGACTACAGATGCCAGTCACTGAACCAGTGCATAAATTGAAAAAGACAACCAAGAAAGAGGTCACAGTAAAGCAGTGGGCCCGTGGGGGATGGCAAAAAGCAAAAGGGAAAGGAGCAGGGTGCCAGTGTCATGGAATGGAAAACATCATCAGTCATTTCAGTTGTTTTCAACTGGAAAAGGTGGCATCCTTGTCTGAGTTTTATAGCTTTGTTTCTAACACCTATGTCAGCATCAGTCCTCTACAAGTCATCACACACAGGGAAGTATCTAAATATATGCTGTATATGCTGAAGGGAATCTCAAGTGGAATAATTCAGTACTTGGTATTTATTTATTGAATTATTTATTGTGCCTATGAAACTTCTGCAGTTAATTCTGAAAGAGTAGGACCCAGTATTCCAACTTTTGGGAAACATACACCAGATTTAAAGTTCTGATCATCAGATGTTAGGACAAGAGAGATTTTTGTAGGTCAGAGTCCCATCATTTTACAGGTGATAAAGCCAGTGCTCAGGAATGATTGAAAAGGTCACACGACAAAGACTGGAAATAGATTCGCATGAGGATCACTGAGGTCCAGGTCTACTTTTGAGTCTGCTTGGGGTCCTATACTGCCTTGCCTCTTCATCAACTTATTCTTTAAAAATGACACTGATGATCAGAGTACAAAGAACAAAATATGTAGCTGGATAGCTAATACTGTATCCCTTCCAGCTCTGTCTATAAAAATACATAATGAAGACATGGAATGATCATTTGAATTATTTGTTCTGTTGAAGTAAGATCAAAGCATTTGAGTCCAGAACACTTATCCATAAAATAGATACGAAGAGCTTTATCACACACGTGCAGACAGCTGTAGTTCATTAGGAAAAGTAGGAGAGTGTGAAAGTGAAAAATCAGTCCATGTGTGACAAATGACCACGATCTGGAAACATTCCATGTGTGTCTTTCCTTACCATCACTCCTCCAACTTAGCACTTGACATGCACAGTAGCAATTTTCTCTGCGGCAGCTTCCACGTACAGTGGTACTTTGCTCCCCTCTGACACTGCCAGCATCTGGAATCATCACATCCAGGAAGATATCCAGCCCTGTGATTACAGTGCCCAGGCTCCTACTCCCATGATGGGTCTTTTCCTTCTCTTCTCACTCTGCATGTTCCCACCACTGACTTGTCTTAGTTACTTTTCTCCTTGCTGTGACAAAGTACTCCACTTCCAAAGTTAAAGGAGGGAAGTTTTATTGTAGCTCAGTTTGTAGCGATTTCTGTCCATGACAGTAGGCTCACTCCAAGGCAGGGAAGCATGGCAGAGGGGCATTGCAGAGGAGAAATAGTTCATGGAAGGGAGAAGGCAGCAAAGCAGTGAAGTAACAAGCAGCGAGCGATCAACAAAGACCTTCTATCTTTTATATTCCATGCAGGGTAGCACACATACCCAGGGTGGGCACCTTAATCCTACCCAGAACTATGTCAAACCAATCAATGGACTAATTTAGTAATCACACACCTTTAATCCCAGCATTGTACACTTAATCCCAGCCTCACAAACTAGATCCAGCCACCTTCAAAAAGCCCCACCTATGACCACATGAGACTTTGGGGGAACAGTTTGATACAAACCATAATATCATTCATACCCTTGACTCACTCACCCTTTGGCTCTTGCTGTTATAATTGTACTGCTTTCTCAAAGGTGCTTTTTTTTTTTTTTTTTTTTTTTAAAAAAAAGTAACTTCTATTTTATCTAAATTATATATGTTCACAGTATTGAGTTAAATAGCACTAAGAATATTTAATTAAAAATAGATGCCTTTCAGTAAACTGATAGAAATTAGTAGTACAATTTTGCATGCCTATATCTGGTAACCTGAACAGCTACTTTGAAGATAACAATATGTAATATAATGACCGTTGTTAATTTCCTATCATTTTGTTTTGAAATTCTGTATCATTTTTATTTTTAAATTTTCTTTAAAATAAAAAAAGATGCCTTTATGCTGAGTGTAGTGGTGCACGCCGAAATCCCAGCACTTATGAGGCTGAGACAGGAGGATTGCTGTGAGTTTGAGGCCAGACTGGGTTACATAGTGTGTTCAAGACCAGCCTGAACTGCATGGTGAGACCCTGTCTCAAAAACAACAACAACAATAACAACAACAACAACAAAGATGCCTTTAATCCCTTATCCTGTTGCTCCTTGTCCTGTAAGAGCAACTTTCTACTCTTAAATCTCCTCTCCTTTCATGTTTCTGGCAATTGTATTTATATGACAGTTTCTTAATTTTTCTCTTAACTTTAGTCATTATCTATTGACATTCTGTTGTGTGATTTTTGGACTGCCTTACACACACACACACACACACACACACACACACACACCCCTCTACCCCTTAAATATGCATAGTATACTACAATTTTGGGGTAAAATCAGCTTTTAGTTCTTAGATTCTCATGACTGTGTCATCTTGCTTCTAGCAAGAGATTATAGTGTATTCTAAATACAGTTTCTTTCTTACACTGTACAAATTCCTATTTTCCCTGGAATTGTTTCATTTTAAAATTTACTTAGGCTTCTTTGTTCCTATAACTGCAGCATCCTCAGCATCTCAGACAATAGAGAAGTCTTGCCTTCCAGTCCAAGGTGTTAGATAATCTACCCATTCCCCCTTGTGGAGCCTGCCCTCCTCATCCCTGCTTGCTCTTTAATCCAGGTTAGTTCCTTTCTGCACAGCTGCTATCTGGGGACCTCCTGTCATGCTGGGAATTCTTAGATCCCCTTTTCTGGAATCCCTTGCCATCTTTTTCTGGGTTTATTCGTTTTTAAATAAAGCATGTTCTCCAGCAGCTTGCGGGGAAAAGAAGATGCATGGAGGTAAAAATGCTAAGGCCTCCCATGTCTGAAAATATCTTTCTTCTAGCCCAAGGCCTGATGGATTTGATTAGAAAATCAGTCACCCCCCGTTGCCCTTTGACCCCCAGTTTGCTATGGAAACGTTGTATAGCATTCTAATTTCTGATTCCATGTATGTATTTTACTTCCATTTTTAAAACCATTAGGGTTTTTTTTTATCCACAGTGTTTAAAATTTCTCAGTGGAAAATTATTAGATGGTAGCTTTTCATTCATTCAGCCTGCATGCAGGGGGACTCTTTCAGGGGGACTCTTTCCATTTGGAAGTTCATGTGCCTCAGTTCCTGAAATGTTTCCTTTTCTTCTTCTTTCTATGAAAATTAGCTTCCCTTCAATTTTCTCTCTCCTAGTTTCTGAAACTCTGATGTGTCAGCTTTTGACCCTTATGCACTGATCTTCTTGTTCTCTTTTTCTCTCCTGTTTATCATTTTTTTATTTTAAAGAGAAAAAAATAACAAAATAACAACAACAAAGACAAAAACAAAACAGCACAAAGACAATAAAAATGATACAGAATTTCAAAACAAGATAATAGGAAGTTAACAGTGGCTATTATATTACATATTGTTATCTTCAACAAAGTTGCTCGGATTGCCAGATGTAAGAATGCAAGATTGATCAAACAATTAAAGGGAATAGAAAATAATTTAAAAGACATTAGAAATGATAGAGAGTTAAACTAAACAAGATGGTAGGAATTTAACAATGGTTATTATATTGCATATTGTTATCTTCAAATTAGTTGTTCACATTACCAGATATAAGCATGTAAAATTGGTCAAAAAATTTTTAAGCATTAACTATGTTGGATCTAGTTTCCAAGAATTTTTCTCCCATGTATGTGTCAACACTTCTCTTTAATACTATTGTGCTTGCCATAATTTTAAATATTTACAGTGATTTCTTGTCCTCTGAAAGTTGTTTTCTCTTTTTTGAATGATATTCACTTTATGTTTTCATGGACACATTGTCACCTCATGCCTCAGTAAAAACATTGATGCTCAAGTTTTCATGGGTTCCTTTGCTTCCCATCCTGTCTGTTACTTCTGATTTAGTATGTCTGCTTATTTTGGTCTCTGGCTTTCCTGGAGAGCCATGCTTAAAGTCCCTGATCTTCAGCTGTCTTTTCAGTTCAGCAAGGAGCTAAATAAACCCCATGGGAGCTCCATGTGCATGGCTGGGCTTGTTACCCATGGGCCCCTAGGGAGGACCCATTATATTGGGGGTGCTCAATTCTGACTCTGTACAGGACACAGAGGATATCTCTGGCTGCCAGTGTTTTACAAGCGAGGGTGTGTGTGTCCAGCCCCCTTTTCTGTCTATGCCTGTTATTTAATGCCTGTGTGCAGCGGGCTTCTCATCTCCACACCCAGGTGTACCTGGTGTCTCTGGGGATAGACCCGCTCTTGCTTAGGAAGGCAGGGAGGAGCAGTTGCTTGGCTGCACAGAGCAGACAAGATGACCTGGGAGACTCATTTCCTGTGTGCCACCTCTTAATGACCCTGTCCCCCAGATTCAGGGTAGCTGGTGCCTCTGATTCTCCAGCTTTTCCACGATTCTGCTGCATGAATGAAGTCGCATCCTTGAGGCACCTCTTCCCCTCCTTCCCTCCTTTCTCCTTGCTCCTCCCGTAACTACAGGCTTGGGAGCAGCTCTCAGTAAAGTGTACACACACTGCATTTATTAGACGGGATGATTTAAAATGAGCTCTTGTGTGTACCAAGAATTTTTAAGTTTTTTCTTATCATGTAGTTGAAGCATATACACAGTGTAATAGGAGTTAAACATTTTCATGAAAATATGCAA